TGAATCGTGCGACCATAACCGTGTTAAGACAAATACTTGTCGTGGACTGTATTTAGCTCGTCTTATTTCGTTTCCTATTTAGAATCTATCTAAGAATATCAGATGGTAGAATTTCATTAATTATTRATAGAACCATTTATCTAACAGGCTTGGTTGTCAACTAAGTCAGACTTAAACAAACAAATTACAGAGCGCAATGCAATGTGCCGAGTTGATGTTACCAAACAGGTGCATCATAGTGGTTATGTCATTACAAAGTAGTTTTTTTAGCAAATACCATTCATGCATCTCACTGGTTAAGTGCCTGTATGATGTAACCAATTTCCCAAAAAGTCGTCAAATTTCTATTYCAAAATTCATCTGGTAATTGTTGCTGACAACGTTATTTTTTTCAAACGGGTGTAATGTGAATGCATATACWAGATCTTTTATCAGAAAAACGYGTTTATTYCGTGAAACATAAATAGTACAAAGTCGCTTTTTTTAATATTTCTTTGTTTCCTGCAGTATCATAGCGCTATTTTATCGAGTAATTATGAAGTAGTGTTTTTGTTTTTTCGGACTAAGTGCGGTGCATACTCGCTGACTTAAACTACTGGTCATATTCATTCGCCATTTTTGACATTACATTTAGATGAATGCATACTGACTGGAAAAAGTCGCGCGCTTTAAAGGTTGTAAATTTGACTAAAAACATTTACATGAAATTTACATCATTTTGTAAACTTACAACATATTTACATCAAATTTAAAACCTTTAAACCGCGCGATCTTTTCCAGTGTATATCTGTACGTCGTAGTGTCAGTTCTCAGGACAACCGTAGACCTCGGCTCTCATGGCAGGCATGTTGGAGAATGTAACAGTAACAATTCGAATATAGCGACACTTGATTGCCACTGGAAGCTTGTTTGTGACAATAGTGTCACGGTCAGTGTTCCCAGGGAAGACCTGTAGAAAAGGAATTTTTACTCGATCAATGAAAAAACAAATTCACGTGCAGAGCTCCAAAATATGGCGCCTACGTACCAAAGAACCGGCTTTATTCCATGTTCACAGTGTTAACTGAGCAATAGTAGCTAAGTTTACTAACCTTGAGTGCTCCGCCAACCTTGTAGTCAGTGAAAGTCCCGTCATTAAGAGCATAAGAGAGACTATATGACGTAATCCAGTTGTTCCATGTGTATGGTCTTCCTTGTGTCGCTACCTTAGTAACTCGGTAAACATTACCAAGGTCAATCTGCAGATATTCCCCCGCCGCTTGGTTTCTGGCTTCCCAGCTGCCAATATTTCCCTGACTGTGCTGCATCCTGAGTCGTCCTCGCCATGGCTCACAACCAGAGCCATAGAAGGAGGAAGCAGAGATCCTGTTGTTTGGAATAGTTCCTGATTCTAAACCAAGCGGTGCACTGCAGACTACAAAGAACACAAAAAGCAAATCATTTTTAACAAAGGGCAAATATGATGCTAATAATTGTTTTGAAGAAAAAAAGTTGTTTGAATTTTATTTTCTGAGTTAAATGCATTTGAAAATTGAAAATAATGCTAATGATGTGACGTCAAGGGAGGCTTAATTTTTTGTTAAAAATGATTTTCTAAAAGGKTTCATGTGCATTTTAAAAGTGTCCGACTGAAATTTTATTTGTTAATAATTATATGCATGGTGCCGAGACCGTGCCCGGATACCGCCAGGCGAGGCCAGGCGATATTCAAGAGACTACTGCATCAATACCTGACCGCAGATCTCTAATGCGAGCACGTCCAGASCTCTAATGCGAGCACGTCTTGAATACGACGCTATTCATTGCCGTTGAGCAGAAAACGGTGTTGCTTYATTCGTTATTTACCTACCTTTACAAGTATAATCGTCTTTAGAGCTGTCAATCAAACAACTTTGTCCAGTATTGCAGTATGCATCACTGCAATAATCATTCTTTATCTTAATGTAAACCCCTCCCATGTCATACACGAGGTGCAGAGGTCTTGAAAGATGCGTTGCCTTGTTGAGATGACACTTCTTTTGTTCCTCGTAGTAGTTGATACTGAAACATCCCGAATTCTCTCTGCATTGCATCTCGCATTGTGCTTGACTAGTAACCTGGGATGATGTTAGTAGGTTACCTTGAAGGACAAAACTTTCCTGGACGTGGTTACCACTGCACGAAGCTTGAACGTTGGTCTGGTCCAAGACAATGGAAAGCCAGCCAARAAGAATGTTAACCGTCTTCTTCATATTAGTGAACCTTGAAAGAAAGGCAACATTACCGACCGCATGTAGCAAGGAAACCGCCATCTGGAAACTAAACTGATCTTTTCTAAAATTACAGTTAATGAAAAACACTAATAGGCATCTTCCAAACGTTTGCGTTGATCAATACGCGTCCGAAATGGTGATAGGAATTATGAGATGTGGGAGATTGAAAGTTTGTTCCTTCGCCCCTTTATGACGTCATTTAAAGTTTCAAAACTGATAGTCTTGATGAAAACAAATGTCGCACTATATATAACTCACCATTTTGATGYCGTTCTCTGGGTTTATGGTTGGAATTCTKCTKGCCTTGTGTTTTTTGTGCCGCGGTGTTTACCGTTTTACAGTTAATTCCCTGTGGTGATGCATAATTTATCAATAGGACATTTGCATGATGGCTTAACGTTACTAGATTGGCCAGTAAGATGCGCAATTTCTTTGTTATTCAGAGTTGTAATCTCTTTGGAGATTAGTAAAACTAGTTGGACTAATTATTATTAGTTTTTTTAAGGAAAGTGAGCAAAGCATTCTTGCGTTGTAGTCATATGACGCGATCATGCAAGTTTAAAATTGCCTATTGAAAGTCCCGTTCTCCAACTACCGTGGGCCACTGAGGAAGTTAACATATTATAGCCGGGTAACTGTAACACTCTTTGGCATTAGATGTAGATCAATTTCGTTTGGGATCTTTTCTTTAGAATGTGAAGAATAACCATAGTATTGCTTGAAATAGTCGCTATATTRCCTTACATAGGTATATATTATCGTACATTTGAAGGAAATTTTCCTTTTTATGCCACTGCTTCTACTAGTGGAATAGAATTAATACATTGGAATGTCTATATTGTATTCAGAAAATGTTATTTGCCTTCTAGAAAGGTCAGTGAAAGACGAGGTTGGGTAATTGTCTGACATTGTGTGAAATTAAGCTTCGACAAGAACACCAGAAGAGAATAGTCACTGAGCTGCGAAAATAATATCTAGTGTTTAATGTATCAACCATTATTATCATTTACTCATAAAATTTCATATCCTCTGATCGGAAGGAGTTTTAAGGTGAAGAATTGCTTTTCTTGCGTTCATAATCCAGATTCCATAATCCAGATTTGCTCCTGAATGTGTATTATTTGTTTCAATGCTTATTATTATTTATTATTTATTTTCATGACTGGAAATTCAACAAGCTGTGTATTATTTCTTTGTCACTTTTATTGTATTTGCAAATATCAGAAAATGATAGAAAAAGTTGTGCCTCTGTCCTATGATAAAAGCACTAATAAGATACGTCTTTTTTGACTCTGCACGACTTTATATCCCGATAATATCGACTGTAGCGCTACTTTGAAAATACTGAACAATAGGAAATGTCCGGCATTTCAATGCAAAAATCACGAGATGTTGTCGCTCCCCAGAGCCTGCTGTATTGTGATTCGTATATTAGTTTGTTCTTTGTATAAGATCTCCGTGAGGCTTACGTCGCGTTCTCGTTATTTCAGAGGACGTAAGCAAGTTGGGTGATATATGGGGTGTACACAAGAGATTGTAAAAGCATTTTTTTCAGTTTTATTCAGTGAATTTCTTGAGTTTTTTCGCATTTCTCTATGTACATTGATATATATTAATTGTTGAAGAAAATTCATCGAAAAATCGTCCTTTGTTATCATAATGAAAAATTTAAAACTTATATGAAATAATAAAGTGCCTTATGAATGACTTTTGATAAAAAGCCGAAAATTGGTAATCATTTTTTTAATGGATTTTTCTAGTTTTTTTATGGATTGAAATAGAAGACGTGTTCTGATTGGATATTGTGGTGAGTTATGTGTCATTATGATTTTTAATATTGACACCCTGAAAAGATTATAGGTTATACTGTAACAAATCATCCAAATAAATAAAGATATACTCTATAAACATGCTCTTGAGATGAGATTGCAGTCTGAGTAAAATTACCACAGTTTCTCATCGTCTGGAAAGTTCGTTTTTTTCTCTCAACCTTTTCTAAATACAATATCCAAATATTTTCCAATCATGTCGATGTTTCAGTTACCAGGACAACCGTAGATCTCAACTCTCAGGGCTGGAGTATCGGAGTAGGTGACGGTGACAATTCGAATAGATCGACACCTACTGCCTCTGGAAGCTTGTTTGTGACAATAGCATCCCGGTTGGAGTTGGCTGTGAAGATCTATAGAGACCAAAGAAAAAAATTATAGTCACTTAAATGAAACTGCGCGCTAGAATATGCACAATTTATCCACATTGACAGGTAGCTGAGCAATTGTAAATTTTCCAAGAAATATATGTCAATATAGTAGCATACAAATCAATCGTTAAAATATAGGAACCAGCTAACCTTGAGTGACCCGCCAAGCTTATAGTCATTAAAGATTCCACTTTTGACTGCGTAAGACAGACTGTACGAAGAAACATACGCGCTGTACTTGTGTGKCCTTCCCTGGGTTGCTACCATGGTAACACGATAAATACTGTCAAGGTCCACCTGCAGGTATTCCCCTGCAGCCCTGTTTTTAGCTTGCCAACAGCCAGCATCTAAACTCGGGTTGTATGGATCAGTTTTTGGCTGGGCCATGAGTCGTCCTCGCCATGGCTCGTGACCAATACYGTAGAACGAGGAAGCAGTGATATTGCTGTTTGGAATTCTTCCTGATTTTAATCCAAGCGGGGCATTGCAGACTGAAAAGAACAGTCAACAATTAAACCTTGAGAACGAATGGACTACCAGGCGAGACAGGAGGCTAAAATGCATGTCTTTTGCCTTCAGTTGTACGTTTGTTCATGAAGCGGAGAAGTGTAATTACTTAAGGGTACTAGCTTAGTTGCTGATCAAATACCAAAATACAATCTTGACAAATTATCAGTTGCAGGGATTAGTTCATCTACAATAGTCAACTTRCCTTCACAGATATAATCGTCTTTCCCATCGTCAATGGAACAAATGTATCCAGTAGTGCAATATGCATCACTGCAATAATCATTCTTTATCTTAATGTAAACCCCTCCCATGTCATACACGAGGTGCAGAGGTCTTGAAAGATGCGTTGCCTTGTTGAGATGACAATTCTTCTGTTCCTTGTAGTAGTTGATACTAAAACATCCTGAATTCTCTCTACATT